GCGGTTTCATATCTCAGCGGCTCGTAGCAGATTATAAATGACAGCATGTAAATCGTCTCTCACCTGTGTGTGGAACAGATGAAGTGGATTTATGAAAGAATCACTGAACCTGGTCCAAAAAATCACATAGGTAGTTTCTTCTGGAAAGTATGTAAATCATGCATACCTCGTAGCTATTCTGCTTTGCGCTTTGCATTCGAGAGCCACACCACGAAAATAAATTTTTGAGGCTAGTTTTGCTTTTTGAAACAATTTCAAAGATTATTCTAATTATTTACAAGTAACACCAGGTTTTATCACTCATACAAGTAACCAGAAGTTTTGCAATCCGATCTCCGAGATCTCCGAGATCTTCGCTCGCCCTCCACCTCTCCCACTGACAGTACCCATTTTCTGAGCGCATTCTGATTTTTGTAAGGGCGAAACTGAAAAGGTCGTGTTTGGCACTTTTTAACGGGTCTAGAGCACGGCTCGCCCATCTAGAAACAGACTATAAACGTTGTGCTTATACGTAGAAGTTTGAACTTACTAAATACTTTTTCGTAATACTTACTCACCAAGTCCATCTCTGAGTCGAACAAGACTTCAAAGATTAGAACAATTTGTTGAAATGAGAAACTGCTTTACCATTTGTGCTGAATATCCATCATGATTTGTTCTTGCGGAGTCTAAATGGCTTCGTGGATGATAATTTCAGATCTGTGATTACATAAACTGGGGATGGCAGACATACGACTTCCGGCCTCCTTTCACATGCCTAGCAATTTCAAAGATCTGAAAATGCAGGCGATTATTCCCAACACATTTTGTTCTTTCTCCATGGTTTGCAGTTCAGATTTTGAAAGTAAAAAAGACCTAATTTTGACGGATTGAAAAACGTTGAGGCAGTCTAGCATAAAACATCAAACTCCCATAATTGCTTGTTCTCGCAATCAAAAGATTCTGCTCCACCTCAGTTTGCACAAGTTGTTTGCCTCACTCCACTACATAAGATGGATAGCGATCAAATATGCAGTTTGCAACGAACAAAAGAAGATCCGGTATCCCGTACATACGTCGAAATCAAATGGAAGTTTCCAAGCTTAGACAAAACAATTCTGTTTGCAACTCGAAATCTTCTATTTTTGATAGAATTCGTAATATCTGGCTTTAGGCACTCGTCTTACCAACTTTGCCTGATTGTACATGGTCCTAATGCTTCCACCGGTTCAGGTTTCTTCTATTTCATTCATAGAACTCTAGAATCACGGTGCGAGTCTCTAACAGTCCTTTTTCTGAAGTATCAGGACCTTTGCGTGCAGCAGCAAAAAAAATTCTATGAGTAAGCCAGAATGAATGCAAGCATCCCTTAGAGAGCATTACCGGTAAGTTTTAGGGCGATCGCTACGAAAATGGGCGTTGCGCTTACAGACCGCTACCTCTCCCTAACGATTCTTGCTTTCGTCTCGCCAATCCTATTATGAGATCAATCTGGCTCCTGATTATTTTGAGTCACACAAATGCCGAAAGTGAGTCCTTTGCGCTTGGAAGTTCAACAGTGTTTATTCTCAGCATTGTCATCTTGCAAGGCAGTCTTTGAAATTCGTGTACAACTTCATACGTCATCAATTTTATGGGTGTGGCATCTCATTCGGTTTCTAAATTTCAACATCAAAATCTCAGGTGTATTATGTCAGACTGTAAATTCATATCATTGTTTCGAAGCCTTCACTTCCTTTGTTTATCCATGTATGCAGGCTTCACTCTGAGCATTCTAGGCTGTCGCTATCCCAAAAATTTCGCATCAGTTTTCTTGGTTTTCTTGACTCCTCCATTTCTGACAAATTATTCGTTTTGAAATCTTTAAATCGCGACACATAACGAAATCAAATCGGTCGTTATTTGTTTCCAATCGTTGAAACTTCCAAAAATTCCAGTAAGATGTAAATGTACCTTGAAACATATGTAGTTTTGTTGTTTTTGATTAAAATTCGTGCTGATTGGCCTCTAACGAAACCTTTTCCTTCAATTCTTTGGCTCGATTTCTTATATTCAAATTTCTATCATGTATGTCAACAACCATTGCACATAGAAAACATTTATAGTACGTTAAAAAACATTCACGATATGAATCATCTAGGATTTTTGAATCTTTTTTTCCTAGTTTGAAACCCGAGAATTTGTTGCATCTATGCTTGCACATGTTTTCCAGAAAGGTTTCATCCAAGCTTCAGGTTTCAAGTTTTATTTGAGCTTCAAATGTTTTAAAGCTCCGTTAACAAACAACATATCTCTAGTCCTTTCGGCCATGAGAAATGCAGCTTTGATCTACGAAATGTAGAAGTTATTCATGCCAGGTATAAGTCACCCTGGAAGTTGGCCAGCCCAGATTCTGGAAAGTGAAATGTTATGCGCGGAATTTCATACCCCCAATTTGAATCCATCTGTTTTTGAACATCTGCTATGAACAATAGAAATGGAATAGAATGAATGTAACTACTATGCAGTAGAGCTGCCTGTATGTATTCTCTCAAGAAAAATTAGAAGTATGGAGCAGTGCTATTGAAAATATTCCCCTGTCAAAAGCTCTTTCTACCATAGACAAAGGCCTATTTTCTCTAAAAGGTCTGAATGTCTTGACCCTCTTTTGGGGTTAAATGAAAGAGCATTGCGCTACCTATGCCGTTCAAAAAATTTTTGGGGCGCTTTGCAAGATTGTTATGAAAGCAGCTCGCAAGCTTATGTCTTTCACTCAAGATTGTTTTTTCATTATCTTTTCATTTTTTTTTCATTTTTTTTGTGACCGTAAAGAGAAAACGCTTTCTGCATCTATCGTCCGAGAGCCATTGGGGAATCCACTTTTGCAAAAAAAACTTGGATTTCTTTTCTGGTCAAGTGAATTCGAGAGCTAATATTTGCATAAACAAGGCCAAGACCAAGGGATGGAAGCATCGGTCGAAGCACAATATCACTTCAAACCCGTTTATCATCCCTCCTCTCTTCGAAACTGTTATTGTATATTATTATTATTATGTAGTCACGAAAAAGGCTTGATTAATCTCGGAATCAAAATCAAGAGCCTTTCCAATCAGTGCATCATATTAGGTTGTTCTATAAGTCTTTTCATTTTCGTATCTTCAAATCGATATTTCTCAAAAACTGAGGCAACTACAAAGGTACAAATTTGTAGGAGTATTCTTGAGTGAATAAGCTGTACAATTGTATATTTGCGAGGAGCATAAGCCCACTACAGGCAAAGTTTGAAAATTGAGCGCACTATTTATTTTCTCGATTTCTAGACATCAGAAATGCAGTAAGTGCATATATAAATAACTGATGGGGAGATTACATGCGTGAGCAAGTGGAAACTTTGGAGAGTGTTTTTGAACTGAGATACGATTATTTTCGTTTTTCACGATTCTGGATTTTTTTCCATTTTGTCTTGAAACTCGATGAAGATCAAGCCTGGTGTGAGCTTTTGAAAGCCATATTGTAGAGTTTGCTTTGATCTTTCAAATGATGTCCCGCACCCCATTACAAATCTGAAGAGGGCAGACTTATGCCGGTGAAAACTCAGATATGAAAAGACTTATGAGACAACCTAATACTTATACAGAATGTCAAAGTAAGTGCTGAGAATTTTCTGGTAAGTTCGACAGTTCGAGATATCCGTAAAATAGCCAGTCCATGGGTGCACTAGGAAAAAGGTTGTGTTTCCTGTTGTAGGGCTCTGCGTGATTGCCAGAGTCGGTGTTGCAGCCATTGCACACGTGATCTTTCTTATTTATCTTTATTCTATCAGCTGCTTTTCTGCTACCAGATGTTAGCTCGTAATTAGCTGAAACGATTCTAATGAACTCTTGCGGCATCCTGCGTGTGCAATGTCCGCAAATTCACCGACTCTCGTACGCAGAGCCCTGTACGGAAGAGAGACCGCTAGGCAACAGGATGCGAACAGAAAACATAGCACAGCAACTACCTACAATCATTCGTTTATTAACCCTTAATTATTGAATAGACAAAGTCGATGTTCTAATCATTGTTCTTGTTATTTTTTCTGAGTTATCGAGCTCTGAGAAATAGTTGGGGGGTAGATAACAAAGCAAGAAATTTAGTTGACTTTTTTGAGCATTTTCGCGATCGGGTTGGGATTTAGTTGTCCTTATTTAGCCAACTTCTCAAGGCACTGTTCTACAATAAGGTAAAAAAATCGAAAAAGAGATCGTGCACAACACGCTGCCTGAATTAGAACTTGGTGTTAATGCGGTCGGTATATGCAAAGTCCTCGCATTCAATTTCTGCAATGCATCGTCGGTGATCCTGCTCGGTGCTATCACCCATTCACGTGGACGGGAAGATAACGGTTCCAAATCAAACTTACTTTCTACTTTCCAAGCGCTCTCCTAAAAGATAGGAATCAGAGAACATTGATTTTTTTATCTATGAGGTGTTTAGAGGCAAATTAGAGGAACAGACATTTTTCTCGCACCTTATAGACCCTGAATTTATATCAAATAACATCACGGCATTCCTCTGAGAAAGCAACGAAATTATCCGAGAAAGATAAGAACTGAAAAGTCTATTAAGCGTTGTTTATTCTTCTTCCCATCATGCCATACGTTTCTACGCCGTCGTCTTCCTTAAAAGCTGGAACAGCACTGCCTTTCGAGTAGCACCAAAAATGTACAGTCGTAACAGACGAAAACTATGAATGCATGGAAATGGGACTTGCAAATTGATAACAACTGTGTTCTCCAAAATAAACAATCAGCTCAGCCATCATACAAAATACCAGAAGGAAAAACTTTCAAACTTCTTTCCGTATTCTAAGAATTGAAAGGGTTTTTTAAGGTTTGCGAAAACTTCCTATTCCATTAGAGTTTGAGAGATCAATTTCTTGTTTTTACTATCTTGGTAATTACTGTGCCTCCCGAAAGACGGAGATTCTCTCGAATTACTGAATGAAGTGGCCATGAATAGCCTAAATGCCTTTGCCTTCTCAACTAGTTCAATTGTCCCAGTGTCCATCCAATGAACTGCAAAAACCCTTCTTTTGAAGCTTCGGACTGCACAGACGATCCGGCTTTTGTGGGACGTTGCCTACGCCATCTTTTAGACGTATGGGAGGCGATACGAGGAGAGGAATTGCAAGCTAGGGACTTGCTCTTCCCGGTACTTACACATTATTTTAGACATGAAATAATTTCAAATATTATAGGTGCCCTTCTACAGTAAAGACGCAGTACACAGCCTCTGTTCTGCGTACATCTCTTCTATCGATGGCTGTTCAGCCGAACAGGATATGAGCCAGTAAGGCTGGGTATTTTTTAGGAGTACAGATCGATGAATGAACTCTTTTCGCTTGCAGATGTTCATCTTATCCACTTCTGCAGTTCGTTGAAGGTCATCTCAAATTTGCTTGCGGCAGCTATGGTCCTGCTTTTATGGGTGAGATTTTATGGAAACAAGATTTTTCGGTGTTGCTTTATAATGTTCTTTTATCTTTTTTTCGCAAAATATAACTCTATGAGAGGTGCTAAATCTTCAGTCTGACAATGAGCTGTTTATTCCGCCGTCGCTGAATTGCTTGTTTTACCTATTTGTCATTTCCTTTCGAAGATTGTAGCACAATGCTCAGAATTGTAGACCTTGAGTCTTGGTATTTTTCTAAGAGACTTTTACTCATTACATGCGTGAAATAGCGGCACGTGCCAATTTGCAGGATATAAATGTCATTCAAACGCGGAAAAAGTTTGTGATGTTTACTCGACGATAGAATAAATGTAATAACGTCTCTATGATAAAGATTGCTACTTGTTTCACAGCAGGTTTATGCAGCTTGTGGCCGTGATTAAGCGGAAACTTCTGCGAACAGAAGAAAAAAATTAATAAAAGTTTATTTATCGGAGCTGAAGTCATTGCTTGTGATTTGTACTATCTACAGCGCTTTAAGCCTTTCAGCGAATTTTTTTTGACTGCATCTTGCCATGCATAATAAATTTGCAGCTGACAGGGCCGCTAGCGGCAACGATAACTTTCGAAAATCTCTTATCGAACATAAGGAAGCTACTAATTCATCCAAATCGTCATACTCTCTATTTCAGATAATTTCGATTGCATTTCGAAGTCACTGCACAGAAAACGAGATTGCTGGAAGTACATTAAAGGAATGCCTAATCCTACTCAACTTGCTGGTAAGGTTTTCTATCAGCCGGGTATGTTTTTTCATAAAAAAGATCAAGTACTTTTTAGGTAAATGCAATGGCATAGCCAACTTTCTTGAATGCATCGAGGATGATCTTGACAATAGTTGCGGAGAAATAGCCACGGCACTCTTGGAGGCGTCGATTCATGAGCTGGGTTGCCTGAAAGGTGGGCAACACTTTTTAGAGAGTGATCGGTTGTAAAATTTTGAAAATCTTCTAGAAAGCGCTGAGAGAAGTGCACTTCTGGAGCAAACAAATTCAACAGCAATGCTCACAGATCAGTTCAGAAGAGGTAATTTTCGTTGCTCTGAGTTGACCTACGAAAGAATGGGTCGAGTTAACCCACAGATTTTTTAACTATACTTTAAGATTACTTCAAAAATGCAAAGAAGATGAGTGTGAGCCTGCCTGTGCCGCAGCCTATTCGCAATGGAGAAGGTAAGCAACACAAAATTGTACCATTTGCAAATCTTTCATCATAGCAGTTTGCTTAAGATTATCCGAAAATGCCCGAAATTGCATTTGTTGAGGACAGTAACAGTACAGCTCCTTCAGGTAAGCTTACCATAACTAGTTTTGTTGCTATTTCGCGGCCACATTGAAATCACGTATCTATAAAAAACGCGCGCCTGCTGTATCAACCTTGTCACTTTCACTTTTGGCGCAAATCCTTAACTAAATCAGGGAGAAAACGGTTTTTTCCAAATATTATTTTGACACATGCTGCCGAATCTACGACACTGTCAGCATGTTACCTGATAAGTGTTTTTTTTTTACAAAAAACAAGTCTTTTGCATACCTCATTCATTTTTGTTGTTTGCCTGCCACTTCTGTTGATTCGCAGGCAAGCTTCTCCATTGCTTCTTTCACCATCACCATAAGGCTACGGTCTTCGAATTTCGAATCCTGAAATTTTATAAGCGCTAACATCCCAGAATACTTTAGGGTATCATGCAGTCTAACCCGCTCAAGCGCCGCCTCACTTCCCTCCTCTGACCCTCCCAATTAGACGTTTTCATTCACTAACATCGTAAACCATGTGCTGTCTGTGCAGCAACCATTTTTTTCAATTCTTTTCAACGCTGCTCATACTGATGCCACTTTTCTGTATGCTGCTCCCTTGCTGTAATTTTCTGGATCGATTCGCCTTCCTATCACCCTTTGATCATAACAGAAATATAAAAAAAGTTGGGAAGTTCCTTGCCCCTCCCCAAAGCTTACATTTCTGAAGGCCTTCTCTATCTGACGACAGTCAAGAAGATATAAGACCATAAAAAAGAACACTTATGTTAAACCGCGCACATTGAGTAACCCTTTCCTTTCGACATAAACTCCAGAAAACTCCAGAAAATCTTTTTCATTTGCCTTTCAACAAAATGACCCCAAAACAGAGAAATTTGACTTTAAAAAGGAAATGCCAACTTGGTTGGCATTTCGAATTTGCCAACTCGTACTGGTTTGCGCAAAGCTGGACCAGTGGGTACATATGTTATCCACACACAAGCATACGTTGAGTGCACCCTCTGTGAAATTTGGTGAATTGGGAAAGTTGCACATAGGCATAGGCCAGAGTGTTCACGGGATTGCAATGTAGAGCACAATATGTTATGTTCCCCGAAATAAGACTTGCTCTAGCGCAGTTTTCTTGATTCTTATGCATGCTTACCATCTTTTTTTTTTCAGATGGACAAACAAGCACTGGTATTCCAGAAGAGGACGAAGGTGTGTTTTCTTAGTAAATCAAAGCTGTTGAATGAAGCCTATTGCGCAGCACTCCAAATTACTGAACGAGATTTGTTAATTTTACCACAATTAGCGTGATGAATGAGATTGATTTTTGTGCGGGATTTTACATCAAACCTCAGCCTTCTCCTCTGTCTGACTACTGTCTATCTCTCAAGAGACATAATTTAATAATTTAACTCCATTCAGCTAATTTTTTGACTATGTTCCCACACTTTAGATGACGGATTTGAATCGTCTACGTCTCATCAGACAACCTTGGAAGGAGTTACATTAATGTCAACTATGCTCGACGAAGAAGACACTACCGAAGGCTTCAGCATCACTACTGAGATGGTGGAGACAACAGAGTTTGAAATTCCCACTACAACACATCCACCTTATTGTGAACCGTACCGCGACCATGTTACCATTAGTGCTTGCCATAAAAGCGTGATGAAGTGAGCTTTTCTTAAGCTTCGCTGCGCTTTAATCACCGATTGGTTTAGAGAACTTGCCAAACTCTCTGATGCGACGCCTTCAGCGGCTTCCATTCACTTTCCGCTCTATAACGTTTCCGTCGAAAATGTCGTGGACTTGTGCAATAGGCTCAGAGACGCACGCAAGTGCATGAATGGCCTCGAAAAACTCTGCTCACACCCTGTCAGTAAGTCCCGGTCTAGCAAATAATTATAATGGAGGAAATGACATGCTTGGCTGGTTGTAAAAATCGTGGTAGCAAAATTCTTTATAATGTAAGACTGTTCACTGCAATTTCAGCCCTCTGTTATTTTTCTAGTTAACAATGTTATTAACATTGACATAATAGTACTATTTTTATTCTCAATTATCTCATACCAGACCGAAGTGCCGCTTCGCGGCACTTCGGTCTGGCCGTGTGTGTGCGTAGAAGTGGGATGGCGTAGAAATTTGCATTGCCACTTCTTAAGGTTAGTCAAGAAGTGGGTGTCTGCAAACACCTGCTAATAGCAAAAACGGGAAATAAGTGAAATTTCTACAGGTTTTACATGTTGAGGTGAATGAAATATAACAGCAGAGCTGTGCTTAGCTCCCCGAATTTTGGCATATGGAAGATACACAGCTTTAGAACATCAGCTTGCTGGGTCTAAAATAGCCAAATCTGCTGAGTCATCTGAAAAACTTTTTGGAAAAAATTGAAAGCTCTTCTGTGACACTGTGCTGCAATCCCCATTCCTGTTTTCAATCTCCCCCCCCCCCCGCCCTGTAGGCTTATCAGCATAAGCATATTTTGCTTTCTCTCCGAAAAGTCCCCTTCAAAAGTTCTTCACATTTTGCTAATTCCTTATTTCTTCAAAATTGTGCCACACTATTCATATTCTTGAGTTTTTAAATTTTTAGATTAGATTTTTAAATCTAATCTAAAAATTCATGTATATCGGCGAGAGTAATCTCAACCTTCCAACGCACTTTCCGCTTTTCTATTACTTATTTTCCCCCCAAATGAATGTTTTTCGAAAAACCGTGCGGAAAGGTCCCCTTGAGATCAGGGAAAAATCTGGCACTCATTCCTTTCATTGAAAAAGTCTGAATGTCCCCAATATCAATATGTAAATTTAGCAATATCAAAGTGTTTGCACTACATTTTTCTAGTATTCATTTACCTTTCGACTACATCCCAAAAACCATTCTTCAGCTTCTCCTGTCAAGACGCTCAAAGCTTTGATCTCTGATTTGCTTGGGGACGTGCGTATACCTTTGCCTTTGCTGGAGTCAAAGTGCAAATCTCTCCAAGTTTGCCCACTCCCCCTGTCCCCTCCCCTCTTTCGTATCAACTTCCTCTACTCTACCCCAAATCCCAATTTTGTGGTATTCAAACCACATTTTTCGTACTTCCAGCATTGGAGACTTTCATCTTGCTTTCCTTCAGCTCACAATGATTTATGTACCTCATCCAATATGCTTTCTATATTTTGACTGATGTTTTCCGAAACTCCAAAACCTTGCTAGCGGAAGCTGGTATTGCTGCTCGCTAACTGATATAGTAATCTAATGCATAACGAAAACAGGACTAAGTAACCTTCTTCCCTTTCCAGCATTTAGCTTTCTACCTAGCCACTTTGCTGGTTAGGCTTCTCGATTAACATCATTCAAGACAGGCGCCACTATCATCATGAGCCACAGCTCGGTGCATCTGCACCGGCACATAACGACAAAGTTGTTGACATCCGAATCGCGACCACGAAGGGGGGGGGGGGTATCTTACATGCATGAGTCATCTCTAGCGCTTTATTATTGAGAGATATCTTGACTTCTCAAGATTTTACCCTGGTGATTAGTCCCCTTGGATAACACTTGATCCGTTTTTCTTATTATGGTGATTAATCTAGATCATCCTTTTCAAAAACACTGCAAGTTTCTGTAGGTGAACAGCCGTGTGCCTGAATTTACCAGGTTACCCATTTTCAAAAAAAGTTGCGCTCCGTTGCTCTTCTGTCTGATGTGTAAATATTTCTCCAAGTATCCATATCCACGTAACGTGCCAAGGGCAGGATGAGTGAATATCCTATCCCCACCAGAGGGGGGGGGGTAGCTTAGAAGAAGGCTTCAGATCCCTTAGTTTGTTGGGAATGAATCGCACTGTTGCTGAACACTACTCAAGAGTCTCTTGCCTAGAAATTGTATCTGTAACAGTAATTCAGCTCCTTTTTGAAAAAACGCCTGTTCGTTGAAACCGCATTAACGGCATAAGATAATACTATTGTGGTGATCGTACTTGAAAATTAATTATAAATTACTATTTTTCTATCATGTAACAGTCAACATTGCAGCTTCTTCCGTTTTTGAAACAGCAACTTGATGCTACTTGCGAACTGCTGAAAATGCGCGACTTTGACATTGATTATATATGCATTCAAAAGAAATTACTAGAACGAGAGGTAAGTTTACGTTTGAGCAAGTTCCATGTTTTCCCACATGCATCGCAATGAACTGTTTTTGGTAGGATTGCACTGTATTTGTGAATGGAACTATGGATCCAGCCGAAGACAAGTGCAATGGGCATGAGGATTTTCTGAGGTACAGTTTAAAATAAATTATCAAGAATAAGTGTACGCAATTGAATGGGTAGAGAATATTGAAGTTTGGCTATCTAGTATTTTCAAATCTCAAAATGCAACCTTCGTCTATTTTTTTTTGGTTCACTCAGCGCCCTTAGGCTTTAGGTTTGATGGCTGGAGGTTCTAGCCAAGAAAGTTCTCGCACAAAATTCTCTTGAAGTGCAGTCCGAATCTTGCCACTACAAATCTTTGATGAGACCATGAAATCCTTTCTTACTTCAGCCATCTCTCTAAGTTTCATGCGACTACGAAATGCGCTTGAAAAATCTGTGGATGAATCTTATCTTCTTTCTAATTCATAGATACAAAATTCACAAAAGTTCCTCCGTTCCTTCCATGCCCGCTTTTATTCTTTGAATTCCAAAAATTTTCGATGAGTCAATCAGCTAATCGGAATAGGTGTCGTCTACTCTTAATTGAGTAATAATACATCTGAAAGTCTGCACAAGGAAGTTCGTGGCAGAAAAAACTTTCCAAACCTTTACATCCTTCCCGTGGAAAGATTTAAACAGAAGTATTCCTAAGTTTAGGAGTTTTATCTATGAATTCTTGGTGATAGTCAATCTACTGTAGAGCAGCACTGGCTACGCAACTTTATTTGCTTGCCTTCAAATATAACTTTACTTTGTGAGATATAATTTGGGTGTAGGTTGCATCGAGTATTCGATGATGGCTCAGCAAAGAAGTCTGCAGCATTTTCTTTTTTTTTTCAACCTAAACAATGATCTCGGCCTCCCGTAATCCATTTATAGTGCTGAGTTTTATGATGTTAGAACTTATGAAAAAATAACTCCTAAGTAAAAAGCTTTCACACTCAGATAAAACTTGTACAGAGCTGAAACATTGAATAGTTGAAAGTTTTCGCCTTCATTTCATTCCTAACTCCCTATTTTAGCTGTTTGAAATTCGAATTAGAGAAGGAGTGCGGAGAAGAGTCTTATAATAGTGTCGTAACTATGCTTCGAGGATATGGGTGCAATGTCTCAGATAGTGAGTTACTTTTCATGTTTATTCTTCGTTTACTGGCTTATGATGATTGCTTCGTTCGAAATTACCACGGGAATGACTTCTGATCTCGAATGTGGACATATCCAAATATTTGAACTTGTAGAATATGATTAAAATCATTTTGACGTGATTTGCCTCTCTACCTTGATTCTCGTCAAGAAAAATATAGAATCATCCAGATTTGCAATAAATTGCAGGCTTTATTTGAATCAGTGAACGAGTAGACTAAACTGGCCATGTAGGCTGTAGAATAGGAAGAGTCGCTAAATCGAAAAAGTAATTTTTTTACACTCTATTCCTGTACTTAGATCACTTTTCTGTGAGATTAGCTTAGCTATGTCACTCATTACCTTGATGTCCTGGGTTTGTCCTATATGGCGCTAAATTTGTCAATGGGCTAACTATTATATCAAGTCAGGACGCTGACAGAAGAGGGTAAAACGAATGGGGCTTTTGAGTAGGCGACGGCAGGAAACATTTTTATCATAAAAACTCAGTTTGGTAGAACTAGAAGTATATCTGGCTTTATATCACAATGTCTGCCATCAAGACAAACGCAAATTGCTCAGTTTACATCCAGCATTACTGTTCCAGATATAACGGCCGCAACAGTCGACACTAACAATTCGACAACCGTCCCTCTCAAACTCACTTCTCATCCGAAAACGACGTTAAGAACGAAAATTCTATCAACTTCCACACTTCCCACCACGTCAGAGAAAACAATGGAAGGGAGCGGCAGCAGCGGTGATATGGTTATCGAACTAAGCAGTCTACTAAAAGTAGAGGAGAAATCCGCAGTCACACCAGAAACTATCTATGCGGCTACAAAAATTGTTGACAAGCCACTTGTGCGAGCAAGGTCATCTGTAGTCGGCAACGATATTGAAACTAAGATTGAACGTTCGCTGACAGAGGATTCTTCGGGAGCTAACATATCCTCAGAAGAAAGCGAAGACGAGATTATGGACAATGATCCTTCATTTAACTATACCCTCTCAAACGAATGCACATTGGAGATGCGTAATCAGGTACGATATCATTCTTTAGAGGTAATGTCCAGATCCAAAAAACTTGGATCTCTCACTAAAACTACCCCAATTTCACGAGTACAAGACGCAACTTTTTTATTTTTTCAAGCAAGCAGCTCCATACCACAGCCTTGTAAAGTGATCGCTTTCCCTCACAGTTCCTTTAGGTAAGGAGCAGCAGGGTAAAGGGTCCTTTCGTCGCAAAGTTTCTTGGTAAGTTCAAGCTGGTCGAGTTTAGAAAAAACAGGTGTGTCTTGTACTCATGAAATTAGGGTAATTTAGAGGCTTCAGGGGAGCTTCGAAATTCAATCCAGACTGCACTCTTTATTTTGAAATCGCTGAATGCTGAAGCTCAAAGATGAATTTTCTTGCTAGAAATCACGCGAACTGCAACTTTAACAGTAGCTAGCTATGACTCCCCAATTAGAATTGACAGACAGGTTGAAGTGCGCAGACTTTTCTGAACACTGTCTCTGTGGAAAGGACCAAGATTTCTCTGCAAAAAGTTTTTTCCAGGCTAGAGATTGCACTGCGCCTCTGATGCGCACTTGGGTTGCACTACGAGCAACATGGCCGCATTTGGCAGAGGTGACAGAATCACCAGTTAATCAAAACAGAACTCTACATCCTTCCAGGTTACTTTCCCAGTATACAAATACTCACGAGTGGAGTTGCTTGAACTATGCGACAGCTACGCTAACGTCTTCTTATGCGCAAACATTGAGGACATCAAAGTTTGCATCATGGATGAACTGGTTTGCACAATTTATGAATTATCCATCGAAGTTTCTAGTAGCTGTTGATAATCTGTGACAAGGTAGTCATAGCATGCAGTTCAAGAATGCAAATCTCAACTTGATGACGAAATTTACTGACTGACATTTCCTACTCTTTTTACAACTTTACATCACTTTTCATTGCCCGCTTAGTTAAAAAACGTTGAAAACTAGCAAATATTTTGACCGTGATTTTGCAATAACTGCTATTGATGATTATTCTCAGACTGGCTTTGAAACTCGAAATTCCTTGGAATCTGTGTTGAAATAATTCAAGAAATTATTTTTTCTAAATACTTACATTACATAAGCAGTGCTGTTTTCCAAGTTTTTGAGCCGGTAACTTGACTGGAGCTTCTCTTATATGCGCATTTTACGATGGACATGTCACAAGCCTTGCTTTTTTGTAGGATGCTATAAACTTTTCCATAAAAGTATAACCGTACTGTTTACAGAAACATTTTCTTCAGAAAATAGTAGATGGCACATAAGTAATGCACCTTTTTCTATAATTTTTGCCTTTTCGAATGTAGCGCACTCATTTTTTGGTCAAATGAGACATTTTTGCCGAATTTTGCCATTTTGTGTAAGGGTTACGGTAGGTTTACGAGAGAATTTTAGAACGCGTCAGATTCTGCTGAAACTTAATCTATGGGTTATCTAACATGCTGATCACAGAATTCTAGCTACATGCTGCTTACAATTGCTTTTCGATATGTTTGATCCAGGTTTTGTACGCCCTCATGTTTGTCAAAAAACCGTAAAACTTTGATTTTCAGCAGTTTTCGAAAAATGCAAAAAAATTTTTTATACGTTATTTAAAATCAAACGGTTTGCGCAGACTTGCAGCTTATATCACAGTCTACATTTCAGTGTCCATAATTTGCGTTGACAAATCAAATATAAAGAACTGTAACTTCTGCCGATAAATAGCAGCGACAGCGAGAGGACTTTCTCGGAACCTACTCATCCTCTGCTATCTGAATATGTGTATGTTGTTTGAGTTCTATTAAGTGAAAACGGGTGCAGACGATTTTTGGTGGTCTATAGATTTCTGATCAAAAAAGAACCTTGTAGCCAACCTAGAAAAGTCATTAAATCCCTTGTTTTTTTGCGTTAGAAAGTAATCATGCTTTAAAGACGAGCTGTATTGAAACATCCATATGAATCATGGCTCTTTGTTTCTTCTCTTCTTCCCAGAATCGAAATCTATCTCCTCTCATATTGCCGTTTTGTATTGACACATAAAGTTTGCAACTTTTCATAACTTCTTTCTCTTTGAATGAAGCGCATTCAAATCTTAGCGTTATGTAGATTCGGAAGTGAGCTACAAATCTGCGCAAACTGTTTGATTTTATGAAAAATTGGAAGAATTTACTTATTTCCCTAAAAGCGGTCAAGATCGAGTTTTTACGATTTTCCAGTGAAAACGAAGGCGTACGGAAATGGATTGGATAAATTCAGCAGGAATTGTAGGCAAGATGTTCTCAGAGATTGGATACTGAGCAGGGAATGGTCTGCCAAGCGACTATCTGGGAGCGTTTAAATGCGTCAAGTGTTCTGTGACACATGTTTCACGAAATAGGTTTCAAAAGCACTTATTTAGGTTTTTGGTCAGTGTGCTTTTTTCCTATAGTTAAAATAACAATAGATAATAACCAATGTTAATCCGCACCATCAAGATGCTTTTCAAGGCAATATATTGGTCGCTCGAGAAATTTCTTATATTTGAACGTTCATAACTCCTCCCAGATAGTTGCTTGGCAGATAATAACGTACTGCTTGATTTTATGAAAAAGTGGAAGAATCTACTCATTTTCCTAAAAGTGGTCTACCCTTGATACCAGCGTTTTAAGGCGAGTCCGATGATATACAGCTTGCTTGGAATGGCTAGGTTAAGATTGACTATTTTCTCGTGAGCGAAAAAAAATTGTGAGGTAAAGTCGAATCAAAATCTGGCGATCTCGTGAACTCGAACGAGACGAATTTGTCACAATCACCTCCGAAATCCATCAATGCCAAGTGGTCGGAAGCGTCTGATTTTGGTGCAACTTTACACAATGTGGTAATCTTACATGCTGATAAAGAGTATCATACTTGATTGCTGTCAATGTTAATTATTAGCCCCTTTTTTCGTAACTCAACTTCTTCGTAGCAAAAAAGCCTTCCATGCAAAATTCATCTTCGTAATCAAGGTCCGTAGTAAACCCTTCCTGGTCGTCACAACATAGAGGACTATGTCGTGATAGCTGGAAGTACCCAAGACTATAGCGAGCTATCCGCAGGGCGCCACAAAACGAGCATCTCAGCGCGTAAAACCGCTGATGATCGCTATAACAGCGCTCACAAGAGCTGTGCTACAGATAGCGAAATACTATAAGGCATCTGCTACAAGTCAAGGCTGCAGTATGCTTTTCTTGCCAGAGCAGGTATACTTGACTGCACGATCGACCGGGCTCGCCCGCGAAAGTGTCTCTTGAGGGTCGCGGATGAGTATAGCACCCGTACTCGGTAGTCACTTGCAGGCAGGCTAGCATGCGTTCATCCTACGGCGACCCGGGCGTGCAGTCGACTTTAAATCAATCGAAGGAAATCCAATGACGACTATCCTCGCATGAGCGTGCCTATTTCTTCACTTTTTAATTCATTATCTTAGTGTTTGAATCAGTACCAGTAGGGAAAAGCACAGATATTCTATGTCAGTTACGAAATTATACTTATCTTTGCCCGCTGTACTGTGAGAAGGAACTCCAACATCCGCTATATCTGCATCCTCTTCGACTGATCAAGTTTGGGGGCAAGGCTACGTGCAGCCCGTGCCAGCTCCTCCACCATGTACCCCATTAAGCATAACGCCTTTGCTAATTGTGTGCCAGCCGTGCCAGATTCGTGTCAGCTCCGTGCCAAGGCAAGATCGATCGAGCAATACGGAATATCGTCACCCGCCAAAAGAACTGACTCCTGCAAGATCCTTTAGTTAATGAACCTCAAAGCTCCTGTAGTTAAGGAATCTCAACACAGCTTGAAGTTAGCGCAGTGCCAGTGTCAGATACCGGTGCGCTCGACGTTGGGGGGTACAAGTTCCATGCGACAATGTCTTTTGCAATTTGCTGGCTAGTTGAACTTTCATGCAAAGAAACGTAAATTGAAATTTCTTTTTGAAAAAACAAAATGTCATTTAAGACGTACAGTACACAAAGGCAATACATAAGAAAAATCAAAATATCAATATATTCAACATATTCCGTCAAAAATGGGCTATTTCATTAGCCATAACGCCAGACGGTCCCTTCTCATAAAAACGAAGGGAAACGAAAGGTGCATGACTAACGAACAGCAAGTCAGCAAGAATATTTGATTGAAAATGGCAAATTCAGAGCAAAGATCAAAATTCGAAAAATTTTGGCACAAAGAAGGGATTCTTTACTCAAATGAGGTGCCAAAAATAAAGAAGAAAAGTTGCATGAAAACCAAAAAATTACCAGGTATGAGTCTAACATACTTTTTAATTGAAATAACTCACCTTATCTAAATACCAAAGCGGCAGCAGCAGAAATAGCTAGAGAATGGGGAGAGCTACGTTTGGACAGTTAGGCGCTTATCAGCTGTTGATGTTGATTGCAGTTGACGATTATTATAGTGAACTATGTACAGCGCGACCTATAGCGAGGTTGGCGTAGTCGAGCTATAGTCTTGCGTTATATTTCCACTTCTCCATGTCGAGCAAAGTATTTCGCTTTCTCGTTCATCAAGACATGTCGCAATGTGTCGCTATGCGCCGCGATATGTTGCAACATATAGCGACAAAGTGCGATGCTCTGAGGCTCCGCATTGATTGCATCCAGCAGCAATGGTAAAGGATAGCCGCTTTGCCTGCTTCGCTTCATGATAGTCAGCATATCTCACAGCAGGCTCCTCTGGCTATACGTCACGACAGCCGGAGGGTTTACTACGGGCCCAGGATGTCGTATAACATTCTAGACCAAGTTTCATCCATATATGTGACAAATCCTTATTCTTTCCTATTCAAAAAATTACCGTAACTTTCAAATGACGGAATTTGGCGGAGATGCTGCATTCTTGCTCACATAATATTCAATATTATGCCAAAGAATGGTAGCATTCACAAAAAAAGAAAAAAGTTGTAAGAAAAGATTGGAAAACTTTGCCAACCTAGCAGATTTACTGAATTTATTTATTGAAGGGAAAGTCAAATAAAATGATGAAAGAGGAACATTTTTAAACATTACTGAATTCTCTCAATAACGTTTTGTTCTAACAAATGTAGACAATATTGATCTCATCACGTAAAAGTAAGTGATGTACGGTCAGTCGCTTCCGCTTAATACAGTGTGTTTGCACTGCAGATAAAATGCGGCAAAATTTGCGTGTAAACAGATAGCTGCGAATGTGACACCGTCCAACTGCTCGCGGCAAATGCCGCATTTCTGGAGTGGGCATTTGTTCGCAATTGATCGCATTTTACCTACAGTGCAAGCATACAATATTAAGCAAAAAATCTACTCGACTGTATGTATGGAAGTATTTCGACCTAGATACGATTCGCTCAAGATCATCTCGGCTATATTTGCTCACCACAAAACATTCAACGATTTATGGAGCACTATGATTGCATTATGGAGCAAGAAGCCTTGGGAAAAGGCAACTGTAGGCGACATATAATGGGAGAAGCCGTCCCAGGAAAGGATGAAGTAAGCTAGGAAGTTTTAACACTGTAGACGGTACTAGTATAATTTTTGAATTTTAGCACAAATGCCGAGGAGTCAAACCCTATCGCGCCTGCCTTGCGCCCTATTTGAAGAAGAACTGTGGTCTAGCTGCTGTCAAAGAGTTCGACGCTAGTGTACTTCAGTTCGGCTGCTCCGTCTAGTTAAAAAACTTTGCAGAAAACAGTTTCTTAAAAATTCTTTCCCCGTTTTTCTTGTGTACAGATGGATTAATAACCGTTCAAAAGCTTATAGGTTGATTGATCTGATTAAAAGCACTGTCAAGATTTGTTTGATTAGCTAACAAATTTACTAATTATGAGTGAAGATTAGAGTATAATGTGAATCGCATAATCGTGTAAGCGTCTTCGACTAATGAAGCCTGGGGGCTTGAAGCACACCTACCCGTGAGGTCATGTGGTTATACACACATAATTCAATGTAGGTAAGGTGTTCGTTATTGTGTTTGGAACAGAAACTTTTATTTGAAACGATAGGCGACTTTGCACTCACATACGTTATGGACACCGAAGGTTGCCTTAGGATACCTTCTGCAGAGATTATTAGATCAGTATTTCGATGTGTCGGTTGTTGACGCTTTTCGAAAACAGCAAAATTTTATTAGTTTGCTTCCCAACTTTCCTGTAGAAAACAGCTGTAGAGCTCACTTTTGACTTGCGATGAGGACGATGCAGTGATTTGGAGAGAATATGGAGGTAGGATCAAGCAAGCATCGGCGACGGGGGGGGAGGGGGTGAAGGGCTTGTGAGCTGAGCGTAGCATAGCGATGAATGTGAAGAAAAGGAGGAGAATGATCGTACAGAAATAGAACGAAGCGCAAGTTTTGCATGTAAAAGTTAAACGCAAATTTTGCCATATCTGGCCGTAAACAGTGGCTCCGTCAGGACTTGGACGCTAGCTAGTACTAGTTGGAAATACTTCTAAACATAAAACAAGGATTCTGCTTATGCTGTCAATGCGTGAGGCTGCATTATACCATAGTGGATTGTCCCAAGCGGAGCCCGAAGAGGAAGTCGAACCATCCGTTTTCGGGGCAGGAAGCAAAAGGGACGTAGTGTCAAACATATAGATATCTGGGCTTGCAGACATGTTACGTTGCTTCACCATCAAGCAAGCACAGAATTGACATGCTTGCGTCCTTTCACAAACGCTCGAAATAGTACAAAACCGTTAGTAAAATAGACAGATAACTTTTTAGAGCACTGGAGGTTGAAACCAAACTTGGAGTCTTATTAAGTTATAAGCTTTGGAAACTGATGAGAAATAATGTTTTTATATGAAACTCAACTGTCTTGGAGTGCTTCTGCAGACCATCTGTGTTGGTGGATAACTGAAAAGCTCACATCATCTTCGGACTTTTTTGGCGTAAATTTTGGAGATTTTTTTTTTCGAATTCTGCCTTTGGTATGAGAGATAGCCTTCAAGGGCTGCATGTAACAACTCCGCTGGGGAGGGGATCGCAGCTCGAAATCAAGCTTAATTTTCTGAAGCTCTGGTTAGCTAAATTTTGAGTTGTGTATCGTATATGTTAAATATATGTTAAATATTCCTATTATCAAACGTGTTAAAACGAGGAGTTGTAGAAGCCGCATACTCCAGCTTTTTGTACGATTTCCCATTGATCCTCGGCGCCCGTTCGCCTTTCCTTCAAGGTCATTTTTCTTTCTTCAAAATCAACGAAAACATTCCATAGTTCTGTATATTTAACCCAACAGTGTTAAGCATGTTGCTGTTTGCAGCTAAGGATGTTTTGGAATCATGGAGTTTGCGATGAACTACAGTCGAGTAGATTTAGCGGTAAATATAGTGTGCTTGCACAGAAGGTGAAATGCGGTGAAATTTGCGCGTGAACAAGTACACGCCACTACTGCGGGTATTTTGCGCGCGCAATTGGCCGGGTCACAGTCGAAGCTATTTCTTCACGCGCCAATTTTACCGCATTTCACCTTCTGTGCAAGCACACTATACTTACCGCTGAATCTACTCGACTGTACAAGTCGAAAGTTGGGGACTATCTAAAAATTCGATATTTCGAAAACTTATTTGTTCTTATCAGCAACATGTTTAATACTGTTGGATTGAACGAAAAGTACAACTTTGTAAGATTTTCGTTAATTTCGAAGAAAGAAAATGACTTAGAAAGAATGACGGTCAGCCATTGGGGATTGTCAGGGGATCATATTAAAAGCTGGAAAATGCGGCTTATACAGCTTCCTGCCCCTGTTCAATACGTTCATAGTGAAGGATGGTGCGAATATCTATGATAGGTTATACGGCGTGAGATACAGATATCTGGAGCTTTAGGATATGAAGATTTATTTTGAGCTGCGACTCCCCGGCGAAGATGTTAACGCATGCGGCCCTAAATCTCTGACGAGTTATGCTTCTTGTGCTCTCCGTTCCTCAGATTTTTAACCCTCTTCTTCCGTCTCATGGTGATGTCGAAGTTTGGAAAATCGTAACCGCTTCAAGTTCTAGATTCTTTTCCTCACAGTGCAAATCAAGTCGATAGAGTGAAAAGCTGGAGGACTTCGTTTTCTTCAAAATCTAAGAAGAATTCGCTTTTGAAGAGACTCGAGGTTGACTCTTGCCGGTTCCTAGTTCCAAGCAAGGCTTTATCACGAAGTACCGCCTTAAGGCGGGCACAAGTGTATGACAATGCGAAAAAACCAAAAAGCTTCCGCTCTAATCAATTTCAATCCTTAACTTGATCGTCATTCGCTTGATCTAAGCGCAAAAGAGTCTTTTTAAAGCGGGAACTTAACCTCATGGCAATGCCAATTCAGAACAATACAAAAGATTGATTGAAAACAAAAGCCAAAAATGCCAAATAAGGTGCAGACGCTGATTATAGCTCTGTTGAAACGCAAGCGGGGAGAGTCCGGATGTGGGAACTTCACGGTTGACCGTACGCTCACAATCATGATGGATGCCGCACTTTGATTTTGCCGGGTCACAACTTAAGAGGGTGTTTGCATTCTTGATTTCATCCACTTACAGCAGAAATGTAGCCTGATAATGTGAATTGCCACGGTGTCCCCTATGGCAAATTTGGCCGTATCGGGCACGGTAGTCGAGCAGCATAGTCCGATCTCGACAACGGGCTCCACTGCCCCACTGCCGCGAGCGACATGGCAAAACTCGCCAGATCGAACCACAATTTAAAGCTTGACGAGTCAGGGATTGGCGCTCTCACCAGCTCTCGCTCCGGACACTCATTAACGATGGCCGACCAGCGAATGGAAGGTTGATAAATACCGCCTCAGAGCTTAATCAGGAGCCGTAAACAAGACTTCGTAGGACAGGCAGGAGATCCTGCACTGAAACTTGCTGGGCAAGAAGAAGACGGCTACTGAAACCGTACGCAACCTAAATGGACCGTCTTAATGATTCCTTACCACAGAAAAAACATCGGACAGATCCAGTGAGCTTTTTTACATGACAAAGAATGAGCTTATCCGGCAAACATCGAAAACGTCTTGCAAAACAGTACTCTGCGTTGATACCACTGCTT